AGCTGTGCCCCCGGGACCTCACCCGTAACCGGGGTCGCTGAGAGCGCCTGCCTGCCTCAGCGTTGGCGGCAGAACTCAACTTACGTCAGGTACTCATCACGCACAGCACCCGGCCTGTCACACACACTTCGCGAGTGTCGGGTTTGTGCTGTTTCCAGCCTCAAGTTCAACAACATCCACAGAGACGTACTTCCTTTTCTGCACCGCCTGTGGAGTGTCCGGGTCTTTTTATCACAGGTATGGCATACGCGTGCTCTACGTCCTGGGTTTCACCGTCTGAAGGTCGATTTCACCCCGAGCGCTCTCCTCTGGCTGCGACACCGGCGGGCGGCTCCACCCATCTGAGTTACCCATCTGAGGTGGTAACTCGAGGTGGCCCGCCATTCACCGGGACAAGCCGCACCTTTTCCTTGCTCTGCGCCGCAAGACCGCTTTCCGAAAACTCCGGCCACCAGTCTCCAACGCCGCAACAAGGGAGCAGGATGCCGAACACCTGGGATCGTTACCATTTACTTCGCTTCTCGTGCAACCGGTGGAAGATCACGCCACAGGCATCTTCTCCACGCGCCGCAAAACGCCACTTCCTACTCTATCACATTTCTTTCTTTTGAGCGGCGACCCTGACTACTGGGCCCTCGAGCAATGCAGAGGTCGGTGGTGCCGACGCCCACGCAGCCAAAAACCTGCACGTTACCAGCCAGGGGGCGACTCCCTAAAACCTGAACTGAGTCCCTTGGTCTCGGCGGGGGCTGGTTCCAGGACGCCAGTGGCCAGGACAGCAAGGCCCCCGCGTGAAACGGCGGAGGACAGCGAAGAGGATGGTCCTCCGCATCCACGGGTCCCCCGGCGGGTCAGAAACGCTGTTGTCCATCCGAGGTCCGTGGCACCCGGGGACGCGAAAGCTGGGGACACACAGGGCTGACTGTGCGTTTGCTGGAAAAATCCCGCACGGTGGTGAACCGATCCCGTCAAACCCACACTGTTCAAGGGTCGGCTCACACAACACCCACAACGGAAAACTTCTCTGTCTGAATCTTAAGGTCCGGAGCAAACAGCCATGTTCCAGCTAACATCGCACGTAACAGGGAAACATGCCCAGCGGATCCTCATTCGCTTTTGTAGGCGGAAGATTTTTTTTTAATAGGTGGTCAGGGTTTGCGGGGAAATTAGCATTTCTTTCTTCCTTCGTTTTGCTCGAGCAGGTGGCCGTTTCTGCAGGACACTGGGGGGGCATGGTGAAGGAGGGACGCCCCCGGCAGGGCGGGGACAGCCGCGGCCAGTCTCAGAGGCCGAGTCACCGGGGAGAAGTGAAAGCAAAAGCCTCCGGCGGCTTCCTTTCTGACGAAGCTCTGTCGGACGCCCACGGCTCCGTGGGACTGGGCGGGGGGTTGGGGGGCTGCACTGGGGAGCTTCAGGACCCTGGCGGCCGGCCTCCCCGGGGCCGGGACACAGCTCAGGCAGGGCTGGACTCACGGGCGTCTTAGATAAATAGGAACCGGACTTGTAAAAAGCGGCCAGAGGGCAGTCCACTGTGAGCAGGAAAAATTACTGCGGAAACCGCTCCTCAGCACATCATCATTATATTTGCTACTTTGGCAACACTGAACACGAGTCGTTCCGAAAAATACCCCTGGCTGGGCTGTCACTTTTCGGAGAGTGACAGCCGAGGTCATGCGCTTGGAGGTCACACGCTCCAAGGCCCGCAGTCTGTGATGCAGCGCAACCCCGGGACACGGCGGGCTCTCGGAAGTCTCAGAGCCGCTCCCCGAGGCGGGGGCTGGCACGCTTCTCCCTGTGAAGCCAGGGAGTGGGTGGTAAAGGCTCTGCAGGCCGAGAGGCAGTACCTGGCCTACACTGTCGGTGCCAGGTGAGAAGATGGACACCGTTCTTGGCCCACAGGCTGCAAAAGCACAGCCGGTGACTCTAAGGCCCTCCCACCCCCGCCCACAGAAATCTACAGAAACCCCCGCCCAGCAGACGGCGGGGTGGTCTGCCATCCGCACAAGGCATCCATCTGCGATGAGAAGTTCACCCCTCCCTACGGGGAGGGAGGACGGCGAGGAACCCGCAGCAGGTGCCCACCGGCACACCCTAGGGACCGGGAACCACAGGGACCTGGGCTTGGGACTCACCGCCCTCGGAGCCAGGGGCACAGCCGCCCCGCCCCCAACCGATGGGCGTCTCCGGCAGCTCAGCTCCCCCCCACCCCCCGCCCCCGTTGGCCGGGCCTCGCCGGCTCGATGTCCAGTTCCAAAGACGTTCCCCTATCCTCACACCGCTTGGCTGAACAGATGCAGGAGAAGGTGGCCGCGCCCAGCCTCGCCAGAGCGGAGTTCCAAAAATGCCGCGAGTGCCGTCGGTGCTGCCGCAGGAAAAGGGACAGGGTGTCCTCAGGCGGCTTCTTTTCTGAAGTGGACAAGACCCGTCCGGGGTAAAGGCCTCAGGATCGGTACCCTGGCCTTAAAAAAGTTCAGACGCGCGGCCTCACAACAAGTCAAAGCTGGCACGGCAGAAGAGACAGGGAAGGGACGAGGACAACGGGGGACCCTGCAAGGTCCGGCCGACAGCCCCCCGCCCGAGCGGCAGCTCCCACAGGACACAGCCCAGGTGACCCCGGGCGCCACTGCCAGTGGACAGAAGAGCATGTGCAGAAGGTAAAGCGTCCCTTTTACCCTAGCCTTAAATGAGAACCTCAAAACGCCCAAGGGAACAGAATAAAAATATCTCTCAAGTTACTTCTGGAAATCCGATGTTTGTCCAAGAAACTGAGTGTCCATCTCTGACTGACTTCCGGAAGTCCCAAAGACAGCGCGCAGGGCGGATGTGGGGGCCTCACCGCAGAGGGGCCGCCCCCCCACCCCCCACCCCCCACGCCGGGCCCACAGGAAGCCAGCCGGGGAGCGCTGTAACGCCTCTGACCTGCGGGCTCAGGTGAAACTGAGAACGGTCTGTCGCAGAGACGAGCACCGTGCACGGGACGTGCCGGCACAGACGAGCGCCCCCTCCACCACCCCTCCCCACCCTCCCCTGCCCGGGAAACCGCCCAAGGCAGGCGAATCCTGTCCGGGTACGCGCACGCCTGTCCCGGCACGCTCCGTGCTGCGTGACGTGGGGAGCACGTTACCCTTTCCTTTGCTGATTCTTCTCAATAAAATAACAATCACTTCCCCACACTGGCTTAGTTCCGGTCCGGCGTTAGCCCCTGGAAACCGACTGGACCCTCCTTTCCTAGGCCCAGTAGCTGTCAGGCGATCAGTCAGTCCATTGGCAAGTCCACCAGTATTTATGCACGGGCCAGCCAGGCATGAGGATGGCTTTTGTTCTCTTTTGTTGTTTATTTTTTTTTAAATTGTAGAGGGCTTGGCAGAACACTGAGACGAGGGCTTCTCCCCCCGGCACCACGGACATGTGGAGTCGGGTGGACACGCCGAGTTCTCTGCTGGGGCGGTCCTGCCGGTCAGGGGATATGCAGCAGCACCTGTGACCTCTGACCACTAGATGCCGACCACACACACACACGCGTGTGCACACACACAGGGACACCACGCCCCGTCCTCAGCTGTTCAGGACCGGATGTGGGGGGAGGGGCGGCTGCAGCCAAGAGCTTCCTGGCTGAGGGCCGCGGGTCAGCGCTCTAACCTACGGGGCTCGGTGCTACCACCCGCCGCCACCACCAGCCCCGGGCCCAGGAGCTGCCCAGCTCGGCCGGGAACCAGCTCGGTCGAGAACAACGTGAGTCCGCTCTCTGATTTGCTTTCCTGGACTCAGCTCGCGCTCATCTGGCATTTATCACTAACAACCTAATGCCCGTCTAATCATTTGGATGTCAATACAATTACTGTCTATAAAATATGCAAAATAAGTGGAGGAAAAATACAAAGTCAGAACCCTAAAAATTATTTTTAAGCATTTTCCCTAAATATCTATCCATCTATCTGGGAAATATCTATCTATAGATGTAGATATATACAGATATAGATATATTATACATACATATGGGGGAAAAGCAAATATACATATGTAAAAGCCATCTGCTTTCCCCCACCTCTTGGCAATTTTTACATTTTCTCTGTCTCCCTGCTGTCAAGATAGCAATACATGTCTTGAGACATATGTGCATACCTATTCATACACATACATACCCACACATATGTGCACCCACACATACGTGCACCCACACACCCACGCACACACACGCTGTTTGGCTTAGGTTCTGGTGGACCGGCTCAACTTGAGACCATAAATCTCTCTGCAGTTCTGGGAACTCCTCGGCGGCGGTTTCTCAAACAAGCCTCCCCCACAACACTGCCCCCCCAACTCCCTCCCCCTCCCCTGGGGGCCCCTGGGACGCAGATGCCGCCACGGCTCCTTCTGGGTCTGGTCTCGTGTCCTCCCACGTCACCCCACAGTGTTCACCCCTGCAACTCCTCGAGTCGCGTCTGAGAAACCGGGGGTCCCCCTTGCTCCTTCTTCCTCTGTGTCAGTCTAGCAGATTCCAGGTTTTATTCCAACAATTCGTGTATCCCCCAAGCCCTTTACTGGTCCTTCCTCACTAGCACCCTTCCCCACGTCCGTGATGTAGCAACGCCCCTCCTCGCCCCTGGAAGGACGTGAGTCGCGTGTCCTGTTCCCGTCGCCGTGCCACTGATTCGGGGGCCCCCGGTGCAGGCTCTCCCGCCTCTGGGTCTGGGGGCTTCTCAGGGGTTAGGCCGTTCTTGCTGGGGCCTGTGACGGGCCTGTCACTCTCTCCTCCTCAGCTTACTGCTCTCCGGGTCCCCGCTGAGAACCCTCTGCCTGCCCCGGGCTGCAAAGACACGCTCCCGGGTGTTCCTTAGGAAGCTCACGGGTCCAGCTTTCACGCGTCAACCCGCGCCCCGTCGGCACGCCCAGAGAGAGGGGTGCGCCCCCGCTCAGGCACGGGGGTCGACGCCCCAGCAGCATCGGGGCCGCGGCTGCGGTGCTCCTCCCCGAGAAGCCCCCGGGAGGAGGCGCGCACTCACCCAGCCCGGAGATGCCGATGGCCTTCACGGACTTCTTCATCCTGTGCAGAACCGCCCGGTCCACGTCCAGCGCCTACAACAGGGAGAAGACGCTGAGCGGCACGAGGCCGGGCTTCGGTCGCGGGCGCCCAAGAGCAGCCAGGCGAGAGCCCCCCGGGGGCTGCCTCCTCGGGGGGATCCTCGGTGCGGTGTGAGGATCCGGCGGCCACCGAACTCGGGCACCCCCACGTGCCCCACCCCCACGTACCCCGCCCCCCTGCAGCCCCTGAGCCACCTCTGTGCCCACCACCTGCGGGACCCTAGGTTTCTGCAGAGAAACCGGTTAACTCGGACCCGCCCCTCTGCGGCCAAGTCTCGGCGCTCCCTGTGAACCAGCAGGGCTCTGGGGCGTGTAGCCTGCCAGGGCCTGGCCGCGGTGTCTGCGCTCCGCCCCCCAACACCAGGAGGACAGGGAGGACGGTGGGCAGGAGCAGCGGCCGGCACGTGGTGAGGCACAGTGCCCTGGCCCTGCCACACACACCCCCGCCCAAAGACAGCCACCGTCTAGCACCAGACCGCCCCGGCCAGAGGCAGCAGGGGCCGGTGAAAGGCACAGCTCTCCGGACTTGAGAAAACCCAGATTCATCTGTTTGTTTATTGGTTTGGAAGGCACACTCCCCGTCCTTGCCAAACCTCAGAGCTCCCTTCCAGAAAGCCGGAGCTACAATACCTCCTTTGCAAGGTTGAACGATGCAAGAGACACGCTCAGGTATTGTGTGTGCCACCCAGCAAATATTTACAGACCGACCGCGACACGGCGGCCGCGTGCGGCACTTCGAGTGCCTGGCGCACCGGCACTGTGACACTGCGGGGTGACTCACAAACGTGCAGGCAGGCCCGCAGCGCTGCGGGCACAGGCGGGACGGGGCCGTGTCCTTCCAGCCCAGTGAAGCCCCACGGGAGACCAGGGGGCGTCACCTGTGGTGGGACAGGAGGGAGGCGGCGTCTGTGGCCTGGGACAGTGACTCTAGCCACAGGACCACCGCACGGACGGGAGAAAAAAAGGAGCACTTGCTCACCTCCCGCGCCCAGCAGAGAGCCCGGCACAGAGCGGGACGGGGGGAGCAGCTCAGTGAGCAACCACGAGCCTGAAAGGTGGGCAGGGGCTCAAGCCCGGGCAGCGGGGCCCCTGCTGAGGCCGAGGAGCTGCTCATGGCTTCCCGGCGGGGGGCGGGGAGAGCGGCACTTGAAGGCCGCTCAGGCCGCAGTGAGAATGCTCCACGGGTCCGGGCAGACAGGAAGGATGAGGTCGGTTCAGGGCCAGGCCACACCAAAGCGGCGGGGGGGGAGGGGGGAGCCACGGCTGGGGAGCCACCTGGGGCTCTGCAAGGAGCAGCAGACACTCCGGAATGCCAGGAAGGGGCCAGGGAGATGCCTCCAGCCTCTCCCGGCCGGGTCTCAGCTCTCGGGCCTCCACAGCTTCGCGGACCGCAGGGCCCTCTCTGCCCTCAGGGGTCTGGCTCCGTCGGGCCGAGGGGAGTGGGGCCTGGAGGCAGTCATGTCAGCGCAGGAGGGCTTTTCAACACCCCAGCTCTGACCCCGTCCCCCCTGCGTCACGCTGCAGGGCATACCCTCCCGCCCTCAGCATTCACGACCCAAAGTCTTGCAAAAATACACCAGTGGACGGAGCAGACACAGAGCCTTCCCCTTTGTCACCCAAGGGAGGTGCAGCCCCCCCGAGCTCGGGAACGGGGTGCGTGGGGACGGCTGCCGTTCCGCCGCCTGGGAGGGGCCGGGACACAGAGGCGAGGCCGGCGGTAGGGGCCGTTTTTCACCGAAATCACAATTACCTCCCCACTCAGAAACACACCCCTCCTTACGGTGCGCATTTCTAAATAACAAACGTTAAACTTGGCGAAAAGTTAGAATGATCACCTCTGAGTGCTAGACAAAGTCTTCTGTCAATTACATCTAAAAACAGCTCTGGAATCTTAAAACAATAAAAAACTACAAAACTTGAGAGTTTCAAGAAACCACACGTGTCTACTGATCAGGGTTGGATTTCTACCCAGACTAGGCACCCGCCCACCCACCCCCACCCCCACCCAAAATCTACCCGAGCTTGAGAGCAGGAAGAAAGCCTGTGGCTTTGGCCAGAATTTGTGTGTAAGAACTACAAACAGCCCTGGCTGGTGTGGCTCAGTGGGTTGAGCACCGGCCTGTGAACCAAAGGATCACTGGTTCGATTCCCAGTCAGGGCACATGCCTGGGTTGCAGGCCAAGTCCCCAGTAGGGGCACACAAGAGACAACCACACACGGTTGTTTCTCGCCCTCTCTTTTGCCCTCCCTTCCCCTTTCTAAAAATGGATAAATGGAATCTTAAAAAAAAAAATAAAGCACTACAAACAGGGGCCAGAGTCGAACGGCCCGTACAGGCCTGAGCAGGGACCGCTCAGCAGCTCACGTCTGGCCTGACCTCATTAATCCTGGGAAGCTGACCTTTTGTTTATAGAACAAGTTCCACAGAGTAAACCCATTGGGTAAACGAGCTGGCAGGACTGTGTCTGAGCCATTTCAGAGGAAAACAAACAACTGTTTTCCAACCGCTTTGAAAGTGTGTCTTTGGATCCCCGAGCTGTTGCGTTACCAGCCACGGTTCTTCAGGGTATTTGTGAGCATTTAGGGTAAAAGTAGTCAACAGTTAATAACATAAAAAGGCAGCCCCTCACGTCTTGCCACCCTTCTCGAGAGCTCCAGCCGCACACGACGTTTGACGCGACTGTTTCCAGACACCCCGCCCCACTCCTGCTGTGTTCCCACAGCCCCTCTGCGCGCCGTCCCTGTAAGTCCCTGGGGGGCCCTCCCGCGGGCAGAGTCGCGGTCCCGGAGCCCTCCAGGAGCCCCGCCCGGGCGTGCAGGCACCGGCAAGCCGAGGCTGGACTGGGGGCCGGGCCCACCGTCTGTCCGAGGAGCGGGGCCTGCGCCAGAGGTGGGCCCCCCGGGCCGGAGGCCAGGTGCAGGCCCTGACTTGTCTGCGGGCGACCTCGAGCTACTGCGGGTCTGCACAACTGAACGTCTCCAGCTGACGTGATGATGGGGTGGCGGGGGGGGCCTAACTGGGGACCCCAGTTGAGAGAAATGGTACCACTCCCAGAAAGAACTCCACTGTTTACATCAGTAAAATGGCATTACCGAGAAATCATACTCTGTTGTTAGTAGTAGTAGTAGTATCTGAGCTTCACTAACAAAACAAAAACTTCTGTGAAAGTTTAATTTTTTCACTTAGCATGTAAGTGCCTACACAGTATCCTCAGTGTTGCCTCCAGACCTGAAACGCCTAATATGTTTGCTACCTGGCCCTTCACCGAGGCCGGGAGCCTGGCCCGGGGACCCCCCGAAACATCCCTCCGACACCGCCTGCCGCCCCTGCTCCTCTCGGCCCGGACCCAGAGGGTGAGCTGGCGGTGACGGCACAGCGCATTGGGTCTCCAGCACCCTGAGGTCTCAGTGCGAGTCAGCCAGGGGGACAAGGGGCTGTCCTCACCCCTGGAACCCGAGGACGCCGCCCTGGAGGGGGGAGGCGGACGGCAGCAGACACGCCATCCCATCCCACCTCCCTGTGTTCCCATCTGAAAAGAACTGACATTTCTGAAGGACGGGAAACCAGATCACAAAGCAAAACAGCACCCGGTTCCAAGGTGCCGCGAGGACGACTTCGCCAAGAAGGAACCCGACCACGTCTAGACGTCAGCTCTGTCTCGGCTTGACTTCGGAAGCCAGGGAGACCGTTCACGACAGCGCCACGGACTGCCAGAGCCTCCCGGGGGGCTCGGAGACACCCTGGGGCCCGCAGGACTCGGGGCGAAGCCACAGCAATAGTGGATCTACCCACTTCTGAGGGGGTGGGGGGCGGGGGGCGGGGAGCAGAGGCCCGGAGATCGGGAAGTGTCGGGAAGAACGAAGGTCCGGAACGGCCAGGCCAAGGCCCGGCCGTGGACCCTGCCTGAGCCTCGGGGCAAGCGGGAAGGACACACTTCGGTGCCGTCTCGGGACGGTGAAGGTGCGGTGTGCACACCGGGCGACACGGGTGAGGGTGTGCGCGACACTCTGACAACAGCCGGACACCGGACGAGCCCCAGTGCCCTCGGGGTGGACGGGAGAACTGTTGCACACTCATACAATCCAGGGCCCCCCCAACAATCGAGGGCCCCCCAATGATGGAAGGAACTTCACCCGCCCAGAACACAAACGAAATCCCCAAGAATGTTAAGCAAAGAAAGCAAGTTGTGAAAGTATACACACCATATCACGCCGTAAAAAGCTGTTTAATTAGGCAGAATTAGATCATCTTGTTTATGTTTCGGGACATAGGTACTGCTGAGAAAAAACAGTAGGGAACCCCGAGTGACTGACCTATGAAATAACTGCCCCTGCTCCAGGGCATTCATCAGGTTCAATTCTGGACGGCTGACACCGTGAGTTTCACTCCGGTAAAACGCGCTGGGGCAGGACCGGCGGGCTGTGCGAGGGCCGCGGCATCAGGAGAGCCGTGGGGCCGAGGGGTCCGTAGCACCGAGTGCTGCCAGCGCCCCCGTGAACTCTGTCACTGGAGACGACAGCCAGGAACTTAGGGCTCTACTAGGACCGTTTCTGGAGAGCCGGAAGCAGAGGAGGGGGCACTCCAGTGCCGTGAACAGGCTGCACATCCTGGTTTTCGGGGGGGGGGGGGGGGGCGGAAGCTGCCGGCAGACCTGGGGGAGGTGGCAATGGAAAGGCGGATCTTGGCAAGGCAGCTGCCAGACACCGGCAGCAGGGAAGGCCGACCCGGTGCCCACGCCCCGGGGCCCTGTCCCCCAGGAGACGCAGCGTGGGGGCCCGGGCCTGGGGCCCCCCACACCACCTCACTCAAGCTGTCCTCCCCCCTTGGACAGGGCGCCCGGAGAGCTCAGACGCAAGGCAGGAAATGCTCCGTCCCAGGGGAATGACCACGCACAAAACGGGGGCGCGGCAGCAGCAGAAGGTGCCCCTCGTCCCTGAAGGAAGGAGGGGGAGGAAGGGGCGGCCCCCACGCTGGACCGGGTACGAGGCCTCGG